ATTAGGGTGTTTTACACAACCTTTATAAATCGATACGGGGTTTTCTCCACAAAGGGCACAGCATGCAGGTTTGATGTCCTCTTTCTTTTGAGTATAGGTGTAAGTTTCGTGAGGCTTTGCACATTTCATGCGAACAGATAGCGAAGGTTCGTAGTATAATGGCATAATTCCCTCGTATGGCCATAACGCTGGCATTTATGACATTGTACGGGGCCCTTTTTTAATTTGTAAGAGGCGATAAAAATGTCTAATCCTCTTAATTTCTTAATATCATAGACTTTTTTTGCCTTCAATACTTCGTTTGCATTCAACTTGAAAAAGTGGAAGTTTCAATGTATTGCCGTCTTTTACTGTGGTGAGTTGTCGAACTTTAAGGACAGGAATTCCATTTTGATGCAGTTCCTGCTTGATTAATTCAGTATTTGAATTCTTGGGAAGTTTTTTGATAACCACTTTTAATGGTTTTTCATGATTTGGTTTAAAACTGTGGTATTGGATTCCACGCTGTTGCAGTAAGCTTGTGATAAATCTAAAGTATCAAGTCATGACTCTAATAGAGTTTCTCCTTTAAATTTCTAAAATGGGAGGCCCCACCAGCGGCCGAGCGGTAAAGTCGCTGAACACTGGTAGTTCGGTCCGAGGTTCGAATCCCGCGAACGGGCTGGCTGCATGGGTGTTTTCGTGGTTTTCCCCATGTGTACGTGTTACGAGCCAGTTTCCCTTAGAAAGTCCTCCACGAAGGCACCCCTCCCCTTAGGCAGATAGCCCTAGTGTGCTTTGCCATTATTAAATACACACCACACACCTAAGTAATGGGTGATACCGTGACTTCCGATTTTGGCTTTTAGCTTATCCCAGTCCCCGGTGAAATCATCGAGAACAATAGGAGGAACATGTTGTTTTTTAATTTGAGAATTCTGAGTGTCTGGAGTTTCTTCTTCCATTTGGTCATCATTATTTAAAGTGGAGAATTTGTTAGCTTGAGGGGCTTCTTTTGGAGAGTTGTCCGTAATTGGACGTTTTACAGAGTTACGACGGGAAATAAAACCTTCGCTATCTATGACAGTACGTTTTTTCTTAGTTTTTGATGTCTTTGAAGTTGAGGGAATATTTTTATCATCTTTTTCATCCTTACTATTTCAGCGATGGATTTAGAAGATTCATTTATGTTTTTACTTTTCTTTTCACGTTCTTTTAGTAAAATTTCAAAATATTCAATTTCTTTTTCGAGATTTGCTTTTTCACGAAGACTCTCTTCGGAATCATCCCTAGTTCTAAATGCACTTGTGAACTTAGTGAAGTGATCCATTTTTAAATCATAGATCCTTTTCCTAATGGCCTCAGTGGACGGTAAAGGAGTCTTGAATAAATCCGAGACATTTTCCTCCATGTTGGGAACCACAGATTAAACCAAGCAAATGCTAGATGACAGAATACTCACCAGAATTCAAGATGATCGGATCCAAAGTAGAGCAATCAATATATTATCGTTCATATTATGAAACTCAAATAAACATCAAAAGAACTTTCTCGCACTTCGTTAATATTATTACTCAGAATGCACAAAAAGTACAACAAATAACGCTTACCTTTTGGAATTGACGAACACTCGTTCATTAAAAGAACGATAATTTTTTCTATAGGGAAAGCAACCTCTGTAACGGCATTTTATACCTTCCGGTAGTACCAAACATGAGGAGGCAACGCCATCTATCGGCAAAAATAATAAAGAATTATGATAATAGAATTTTAAAGGCATTAGGAAGGACTGGATTGGACTTAAAATCATTCACTAAACATGTTAAATTCTTGTAAATATGAAGTGCCTCAAGAAAATCCAATTCACCAACGGAAGAAGCCTTTGGATAATTTTGCAAAACCAAAATCAAATTATGATTAAATTTCCAACTATGATATGCTATTGAAGACTTTGTTAATTTCGCCTTTTCGGACATAGGATTCATGTTCCTTGATACGAAACGCTAAACCCTTTTTGTTTGGCCTAATATATCTCAATCCACACTGACACCATATACTATAAATTCCTCGAGAATTAAAGTCGGAAACGCAATCTTTTAGAATCGGACTGTCAATTTTATTGATAGGGGAGTATATGACTTGAAAATCGAATTTCTGGAGAATCCGTGCAACTTTATAACTAACAGAAGGATAAAACTGAAAGCACGACAAAGTCATCTTAATATTATTTCTGACAGTGGAATGTCTTCTTTGATGGGAATCTGAAAATTTTTTAACGGCTTTATCAATGATCACGGGAGAAAATCCTCGATCAATAGCAACTGCTCTCAAATAATTAAGTTCATTGGTAAGCAAAGATTCTGAGGAGCAAACTTTGAGTGCGCAACTTGGTGTGTGAAGGTGCAGTTGCCACTCGCTCCCTATTTTTTGACTTCCCTGATTTGTTTGCTTTTTAGTCTATGTTTTATATGTTTGATCAGATAGCCTGGCTCAGTAAAAGTAGGCGGCCAGTGTAAATCTGATTCAAAATCCGGTTACGACGACGTGCAGTGCTAATAACGACCACATGTTTCTGACACTTCTTTGCCAATGCTTCATTTTTCTTCTTTTTTTCCCCTTTCTAGTAATTTCGTTCTCCTGATGAGGAGAGACCTTTAGCTGCCCTCGAAATCGATTGAGTGTTTTAATATATGTACACTAAATACAAGGTTGTTATTGCGATTTTAATTGTCACATTGGCGTGTTTCTCTTCTATTCTACCTGTAGGAGTATTTCTGTGGAAAGTTCCAGAATTTTAAAGTGTTTCTTTTAACAAAATAAACTTTACTTTCTTTTAACAAAATAAACTTAAATGAATGAATGAATTTCATTCATTAGGAATTTATTTCTTATTTAATGCAAAACTATTCCCTTTATATTACAATTTTAAAACACTATGAGCACATTCATTGCCTTTATGGTTTCTTTATAAAAACTTCTAGTAAAAAAATATATTAAATATTATATACTTCTATTTTCTGCTATATACACACAAACTTAAAAGTTTCAAGCTATAAAATTAATCAAAAAGGCAAATATGGGAGACTTTAAAAACCTAGTAAATAATTAGCAATCATGCAATTAGATACATAACTATATTAACTGATACATGATTACTCTACATAATATTATACATAATGCATACTATAGAAATAAAAATCCATAATATTAACCCTCCAAGCATTATGGGTTTAACCTGAAATTTCAAAGTTCCTCAAAATGTCATAAATAAATTGTATTTTCTTGATTATAATCAAAAATCACCTCTCTCACTTTGTACCTTGATTCCTTTTCTTCCAATATACATCCAACCCGAAACTGAATATAATAAATGCTGGCAGAAATTTTCATATGTAATGAATATGAAAGCCACTGTTAAATATAGAATTTTACATCCATATAACTGAGAGGGTTAATGTATCCATTCTTTTAAATACAAAAGTAAATACCTTAATAAATTTAAATTTCAAATTAGACTTTAGTTATCCTAGAATACTTCAAAGTGGTAAAATTTTCTCGCAGCATCGATTTTAACCATTTCTTCAATAAATCTGGTTGTTTAGCAAAATCTGTACTACTAACATTTTAGGGCCGTCGTTATAATTTTCTCGGCATAACAGCACACATCACTTTAAAGGTATAACGAAAATTGACAAAAAAAAATAGAGGTTAAATTAAACATACAGACACACTATTACTTAACCTACTAAAACAACACTGTGGATCACTAGTGTGTCCTGTCATAACCAAGGACAAAATTCCCCTAACTTGCTACTGCCATCTGGATGACGTCATCAGGATGGACTTGGTTTGACCACAGGAGATATCTTTCCTATAATATCTTTCACACCTCATCGAGATAGCCAACAGTTTGTGGCATCACTAAATTTCCAGCCTTCAAGGGAGGCTTCTGTTTAAGAAGGTATTTCCAGTATCATGAAATAACAAACATCTTACTGTTTCACTTTTGTGCAAATGATAATGGTATGGAAAAAAGTAATTCTTTAGTTACAGGAAATTTACAAAAATCAAAGTATTTCAAACATGTTAAAACTTTTCCATTAGAATATAAAGCAACCAAGAAAGCAGGGATGACTATGGACATTTTTACAGAATGGGCTCGGGAAAATAGACAACATTATGAGGCGACAAGACTGCAAAATTTTACTTTTTATGGGTCAATCGACTGTCCATCCTCAAACAACAGACTTCTAGCAAAACATGAAAATTGCTTTCTTTACAACAAATTATATACAGTACAAAGTCCGAAATCTGGACTCGTCGGGACTTTAGCGATTCCGGATTTGGGATTTTTCTGAATAGATCATCAATTTAAATCTGGTAAGATGGCATGCAGAAATTATACAATTAAAAATATGAAATCGTAATTTATGAAATAGAGAACAATAATTATCTAAAAATTATCAAAATTTACAAAAAAAGCTTAATATTTATTTGTTTGCTTTATTAAACATTTCTTTCAATGTAGGTTGTTTAAGTTGCTTCCATAAAAAATTCTAACAGTTCCTTTTTTTTAAGTCATATACAGTTGACTTTCCAATGCCATACTCCTCGCATAATTTTGAGATGGATATGCCTTTATCCATTTTTTGCAGCAATTCCACTTTTTATTTAATGGACATTGAAACATGGTTTTGCTTTATAGATCCTTTGGCAGCTCCAGAACTGGAAACTCTTTTCGATATAATCGAAAGTTCAAGCTTAATTTTTATAAAATTGCTGTAATAATAACAGTCTGCAAAAAATAATAAGATGGATCAAATTAGAAGATTAAGGAGCAGCGCAGTCTGCTACATTAACCCTTTGATGCGCACGATATTATTTTTATAATTTTAACTAAAAACTCCAGAAATTGAATATTATGATCCTAGAGACAAATATGAATTTAAAAAAATCTACTCTTGCCCACTGTTCTGTGGGTGGTGGTCGCACTGTGAAACCACTGCACGTCTAGGACTTTGAAACTTACAGTAGTAGGAAAAAAACTTACAATTTTCCGCGTGCGTTTCCAATAAATGACGAAATTTACGGATTTTAAAAAAATGTATGTAAGAATTACATTAATTTTTTTCATTATTTTACAAAGTAAATCGTCAGAAAAAATTAAAAAATAAACATTTATGTAATTTTTCTACAGCAGTGAAAATATAAGTACCTACATGATAAGGACATTTGGATAAATGGATTAAAAAACTCAATAAAATAAGGATAAAAAAGAACTCAGTGGTTTTTTTTTTATTTCAAAGAACAATATTTTTTTTTTATTTCAAAGAACTTTTTTTTTTTTTTTTTTTTGTGTGTGTGTGTGTGTGTGTGACACTGTTCAAAGCATGTTTTGTCTCTTTGGTACATGCAGAGACCCACATTGCACGTTTCGCACATACATCTTGTTCTATGAGGTTTCTTCCTTGTGCTACAAAATGTACACTGCCTGAATGGAATTAATTTCACTGGTATAGATTCCAGCATTATTTAGTTTCTTTTCATCTGGCACATGAAATTTGTGGTTTTTTATGTTAATGGGGGGGGGCTTGGTCTTTTTGGCTTTGTACAGATCATTTGTTTTCCATTCATACTTATTCGTATTTCGTCCCAAAATATTCAGAAAATATTTTTAATTTAAATAAAACTTTTACACAATTTCTATTTTTAAGTATAGCAAAGTATATTTACATTAAATTTAAACCACAAGAAATAATTTATAAAATCATAATACTAGCTTGGGGAGCAAGTGTGTTGATATCAGAGAAAAGTATTTGGAAAAAAAAGACCTTTTTACTAGGCAGGTGCATGTATTGTTTAGTAATAAAATAACTCTGTGGTTTCAAAGTCCTCTATCTATATTTGAGTAAAAATAAACATGCCTATTTGAAAAGCAAGTGAATGCCACTGAGAAGCAAACGCCAGTGGTTTCAAGGTGGGACCACCGAGGCTCTAGAGCAGTGGTGCGCAAACTAGGGGTCGCCAGAAGTTTTTTTGGGGTTGCCAAATTTTTATGAAATGCATTATGCCTGCATGCTGCATACCATACAGTGTACATATAAATAGTGAAGCACCGTCACTCACTGTTTAATTGCAATTTCATGCTGTCCGCTCTTTCTTTGACCGTAATGCGTAATGTATGTAAAGTGTGAAGATGCAAGATTTTCACTCCAGTAGATAGCGCCCTCTTTGCGGTAATTTGCCAGTTTTACTCTAAAGCGCCTATTTGACTAGACGTTAACCGCAGGGAAAGGGGAAAAATTCGCTTCCGTGATCACCCAATCAGATGGCGAGGTACTCGGTGTATCTGATAGAGTAAAGACGTGAAGTGTTCGCATGAAGTTGTAGCATGTAGCCAGTTGGCCTGCAATTGTTTTAGTTTATCCTCGAGTTTTATCATGTGACATTGTGTAATTATGATTTTTTATATTTTTATCGGGGTTTGCTACTCTTTGTTATCAGGTATGTACTATCATTAGAGAAGATCTCTGTTAATTTTATTGAATTTTCTCGAAAAAAAAATTATAAAAGTTTATATATTATTTATTTTAGTTTAAATAATTTAACCCCTATCTTCAAAATGGATAAATGGGTAATACGTACACCAGGTACATCTTCAGCTAACAAACGAACAAATACTGATGAGGAGTCGCAAAACACTGAACTAAATGCCCGATCTAAAAAAATAA